TTTTATGTGGAATGTACACAAAAAGTGTTCTGGATCAGAGACAGATTTCTTATTTAAATACCTTACAGTAAAATAATAAATGCATTAGTCCCTCGTTGCTAAAGTCCTTACTCCTACGGCAATGCAATGAGAGCTAGGTCAATAATCCTCCATGAGTAGCCAGATACTCCATAGGCAAGGGACAAAAAATAAGTGATTTTTTCCCCCTGCCTATAAAAGGCAGGAGGTAGCTGTCCTCTTCCCCTCCTGAAAGGGTCCCTTACTCCAGCCCTTTGGTATATAAATAAACTCACCTAGAGATGTCTCTAAGTTCCTGGGACTCTTTCCACCTGCTCCAGTCTTCCTGGCCTCTTGGAATACCTCTGTATTAACCTATAGTAGTCTGGGCTATAACCACTGGCTTCTTGGGGAAATAAGAGAGGTTTTATTATGTTCTGACTCAGAGTAGAGCAGTTAACTAGATAAATAGCTACAGATTTTATTCTCATGGTATATGAAGAGCCCCAGGAGTCTAGGGCTTTTTGCAGGAGCACTGAGAGATCCAGGGAAGTTCTATTTCCTCATACCATCCTACCCTAGCTGTGGGATATGTCATTTTTTCCAAGGTGCCCTGGTTCCTTTAAGTAAAAAATGGTATTAGAAACCATGATCGGGGCACTAGGTGTGTTCATGCCTACTGAGGTGTCTTTGCTTCTTGACCCTTTCAGCAGGTAGAGCTAGGAAATATATGCATGTATACACACACACACACACACACACACACACACACACGTACACCTCTACATACACAATACATAGACGTGTATTCATTTGTTTACGTATATACATACATATACCTGTGTGTGTATCTATACACATCTACACAGACACATGCATAGACAGGCAGATATGCCTATTTTAAAAGTGATAGACTGAAACTGATACCTTCAAATTCAGTCTATCCACATAGAGATATTCCTTGCCTTCCCCATTCTATATTTGTATTTACCTTCTTTCACAGTGAGAATCCTGCTTCTAACAACATCAGCACATTTATTGACTTGCTCAAATCTATCATACATCTAAAACAGTTTGAAAATTGCCTTGCATATCTCTACATAAAACAAACCTACTGAAGAGATCTCAGGATTTGTTTGCAGCTCTCCTCCACACCAGCCAAAGATGGAGGTTCTAAAGTCAAATAATGTGTACCTAAGTTACCTGGCTCAGTCCTTCGGTTTCTCTTCACTGAGACTACTGATTTAATTTGAAATTCAATTGTAGTCATTTTGTTTCAGTTTTAGGTTTTTCTTTTCCTTCCTCTTTTTAAAATATGCAGAATATTAATATGCTTCCAAAATTCAAAACTATCCAAAAAGGTATACTTGAGAAGTGTTACTCCTAAATTCCTTCCACCCCATTCCACCACCACCCTTTGTAGGTAGGCAACTTTATTGTTTACTAATTTATTCTTCTGTATTTCTATCTGTTAAGACAAATAGATGTATATATGTTTTCTTAATTCCCCTTGTTTCCTACACAAACGTAGTGGACTATATACCCTCTTTTACACTCTGCTTTTTCTCCACTATCTTCTGGAAATCACTCCGTATCAGTTCATAGAGATCGTCCTCATTCTTTGTTATAGCTGCATAGTACTCCTTTGTGGCTAAGTTTCATAGCTTATTCTATCAATCTCTTTTGCTGAGACATTTAAGTATTTTCCCACATTTATTTCTCTTAATACTTGATGGTTCTTTTGATGACTTCCTGTGATGCCAGGTAGAATTACAGGTCCCTCTGATTTGGGGTTTGTGGTGGTTTCAATTTGTGGGACCTTTCTCTCTGTTAAAGCTCCTCCTGTCCAAGTCCAGTTTACAAGGGTCAGACCTTCCTTTAAGGCCCAGAGCCCCCATATCATTTTTCATATCTACTCAAGACCCTGACCACTCCTTTGTTTGTCTTCCTGTAGCGCTAACTAGCTTTGCAAATCTGACAGCTAAAGCACACACTTTGCTTTATCATCACTTAACGTTTTGAATGAAGGCTGCCTAGTGGGAAAAGATCAGACAGACCTTGATTTATATCCCAGCTCCACCCCTTCCTAGCTGTGTCATCTTTGGCCAGTTACATAACCTCTTAGAGCCTCCTTTTCATGCCTTGTTTGGGGCTTAGAAATATTGTGAGGAATAAATGATTAAATGAGAAGACATTGACCTGAATTGTTGTGTGCGTTTAACAAAACCACTAAGTCTCAACTGCATAGTTGAGATCTACACACACACACGCACACACACAGGGAGGGTGTGTTAGTTTCCTGGGCCTGCCATAACAAAATACCACAGATGGAGTGGCTTAAACAACAGAGATTTATTTTCTCACAGTTCTGGAGGCCAAAAGTACAAGATCAATGTGTCGTCAATGTTGGTTTCTGATAAGGACTCTCTTCCTTGCTTGTGGATGGCCGCCTTTTCTCTGCGTCTTCATGTGGCCTTTCCTTTGCGCGCGTGTGGAGGGAGAGATCTCTGGTGTCTCTTCCTCTTCTTATAAGGCCATGAGTCTTGACAGATTAGGGTCCCATCTTTATGTCCTCGTTTAACCTTAATTACCTCCCTGCACGTCCTGTCTCCAATACAGTCACATTGAGGGTTAGGGCTTCAACATATACGAATTTGGAGGGGACACAATTTAGTCCATAACAAAGGGGAAAAGGATTTGGGAAGAAAGAAGACCACCGTATTCATGATGGTAATATCTGAAGAATGCAATTATGGATGGTTATTATTTTCTTTTTATATAGATAGATAGATAGATAGACAGATGTGTGTGTATATTCTTTCCTTATATTTACTAACTTTATGCAGTGAGCATTTCTTATTTTATGACTGGAAAGTTTACTTTAAACAGGTTTCTAAAACAGCAACACTCCCTCTCCCTGGAGTAGCCTTTTCCTGGCAGGTGTTCCTTGGGGTTCTGTTGCTCCGGCAGTGACTTACGCTCCTCGTCATGAGGCCCCAGGGATCCCTGAACTCAGGTCATATTCTGCCTGGGGATGAGTACAGGAGCATTTCAGAAGAGCTTCTCTCCCAAGTCCCTTCTGCTGCAGTTGGAAAAATGACAGACTGAGGTGTCCAGGCATGGGTGGTGACCCAGGTGGGGCCTTACAGGGTGGTAATATCCTATAAATAAGCACCTGAGGCCTGGAAAGGGGAAATGACCCACCTAAGACCACAGAGTGAGTTAGACACAGAGCAGGAATTGGGATTCCTGGGCAGTTTTGAGGCGTTCTTTTTCTGAGAAAACCTTTGAATCTCACATAAAGGGCCACTAGAGTTACTGTGTAAGTTCGTAGCCATGTCCATTTAAGGTCAAGGAGTGCTTTTCCAGCTTCTCCCCTTTGCCTCCACCAGACCCCAGCCCTGGCCATTTTCTGTTCCTCCTCTCTGGATAAAACCAGAATTTAGCTTCACCTCTTCTCAGTTTCATGGATTACTTTGTCATTTGCTTCATGTAACTCCAGTGAATGACCCTCTTCCCATTGTATATGGTGAGAACTGAGGATGGCCCGGATCCTGATAGTGTGCTGGCTTATTTAAATGTCTTGTGGTTTATGAATGCAGCCCTGTGGGAACAGAAAGAACACTCTGGTAGGAGCTGACCTCTGGACTCTGGTCCTGGCTCTGCCTCCAACTCAACCTGGAAGCCTCAGACAAGTCTGTCTTCTCTCTGGACTTCAGTTTACCCATCTGAAAATGATGGATTTGGATCTAGTCCCTTGAGGATCTTCCAGCTGTGACATGCTACAGCTCAGACAAGAAGCAAAATTCTTATGACACTTCCGTACCTCTCATCCAGTGCTTTCTTTGACATCTCCCAAGAACCATGGCTGTCCCACCCTACCCTCTTTGTGTGAGGCAGTACAGTGTGTAGATTAGAAGTGTGGACTCTGGAGCCAGACAAAAGGGCCCCAATGCAGACTCCCCTACTTACTAGCTGTATGGCTTGGGCAAGTTACTTGGTGTCTCTGAGTCCATTTTCTTATTTATAAAATGGGCATATTAATAATTACCTCCTAGAGCTGTTGTAAAGATGAACTGAGATAATATATGAAAGTACCTGGCCTGTAATAAGCATCATTAAACAACATCTGTTGTTGTCCTTTATTGTAAAGGAGAAAACTTTGTGCATCTCTCTTGGGATTTCTGGGGACAGTGAAGCCACAGATCGTGGGAAAGTCTTGGTGCCAGAAGTTGCTGCCACTGGCCTCCTGCTTTGTATACTAAGAAAATTGCTGGAGAGGGGCTGTGGCAGGAGGAGACATTTTTTGAAATCCCGGTTATCTCTAATCCTCCTGAGTACATATAAATCATAATAAATGAGCTCGTGCAGGCCAGCCTGGGAGTGTGGGGAGGAGAGGATCTGTGACTGGTTTCCTAGCAGGTCGCCTGTGAGCATCTCACCAGCCTAGTTTAAAAATGCATGTTTTTGCGTATACAATGGCCCCTACACACAAACCGACTACTGGATTTGGTGCTCAACCATAGACACAGCCATCTGTTCCAGTGCTGCAGAAAACACTGGCTGTCCTGGATGCATGATGCGTAAATACTGCATACTGGACTTTGTAGGCGATTGAAGGGGTTTCTGGAGATCATTTTGGTTATACGAGATTCTGACTTTAAACCTCACTCCCTGGCCCCCACACGAGGTGTGACTGCAGGGAACGATACGCCGAGCCATTTTCACTGTACCCTCGCCCCAGTAACCTCAGAGTCTGAGTGGAACCTTTTCTGCTCTATGGCTGATTGATTATGACGAAATGTCTGTTTAGGTCCACACAGTTTCAGCTGGCATCTTTGCCTTCTTCTCACTGAAGTTAAGTGCTGCACCAAAACTCAGAAGCCTCGCGGGGCTCTGGGGCCTCAGGTGGTACCTGTAATGTGTCAGTTATGACAAATGTTTACATGCCAAATGTTTACATGTAAATGTCCAAGTGACAGCCTGTCTGTTTCTTCCTGCAGTTTGTCACCAAAGATAGGCTCTTCTTCAAAGACGATTTGTACAATGAAGGAATCCTAATTGTGTGGGACCCGTCTCTTTACCATGCAGATATCCCAAAGGTAAGTGGGTGTCCATGGGAAAGAGGCATTGAGTCTCCTGTTTGCCTATAGATTTTCCTGAGTTCCTGGGTTTTTAAAGTCATGGCTGACCTGGGCCATCCCTGAGAACTGGCTATTTCAGTTTTAGGGCATCCACTTTGTCTGGACTAGCAGTTCAGAGGTGTTCCTGTCCTATACCAGTGCCCTCCATGCCCTGCCCTGCCATGTATTTGTTTCCTAATCATGGTATGTATCAGGAGTAATAGAGGCTGGATTTCTCACTATCTGGGATGATTATGTTCATTTAATACAATTATTCCTGATCAGTATCAGCAGGAATAGACCGTGGTTACTATTATTCCTATACATACTATTACCACACGTTGCACAGTTCCCATTTCCAGAATTCTTCTCATATCTCTCTCATAACAACATGAGGAAATAGATAGAAGCATGGTTGTTACCATTTTACAGATGAGGAAACTGGAATGTGGAGAGGGGAGGTCACCGGGCCCAGGGCTTGATTTCCTGAGCAGAGGGCCAGGTCTGCACCAGCTGCTCTGTCAGGGAAGGAGTCTTGGGCTGCTGGATCCCCAGCCTCTCTGGAATGGCCCTCCCACTGTTTGTCGTGCGTGTCAGTTGGCCTCTCCCTGACATGGGCTGCAGTGGCCCCTGGAGAATGGCTTTAGGGAGGAAGGACAGAGAGCACTGTTCTTGGGACCCTTCATTCTTAAGTTGGACACACCAAGGCTGACAGGCCCTGGTGATCCCTCCCATGCTCGCTACCTCAGTTTCCACAGTTTTGCACTGATCTCACTTAGAACTGAAATTTGTCTGGATCAGGACAAGGACTCTGAACCCACAGATGTGGCAAGCTGTGCCCCACTTCTCGCCCCTTTAAAAATGAGAGGTGGGGTTAGACGATGCAAGGGCCGCTTTCAGCTCTGATATCATTCCCACATTCTATGGTCTTGAAGTCTGAGCTATTCCAGGGTCACCAAGCTCAAAATTCCCTGTGAACACTGGCTACGTGCTGGGTACCCTCTGCTATCAAGTGAGAGCTGTGATGTGGAGGAGAGGTCTGGAATCTGCTCCAAGGAAGGGGCTGTTCCTTAGGATCCTGCCTTGGTCCTCCCCCGCCCCCAGGTCTTCAGATATGGATGACTGCCTGGGGGCAGCAGTGACACTGGCACATTTCTCTCCTTGAGGAGACTATTTCCTTCTTTTTCAGTGGTACCAGAACCCTGACTACAGTTTCTTTGATAACTACAAGAGCTACCGTAAGCTGCATCCCGATCAGCCCTTTTACATCCTCAGGCCCCAGATGCCATGGGAGCTGTGGGACATCATTCAGGAAATCTCCCCAGAGGAGATTCAGCCCAACCCCCCATCCTCTGGGGTGCTCGGTGAGTCCATGTCTGGGAAGAGACCTCTCATGTTTGTTTCTAGAAGAGATTAGCTTTCTTCTAGGGTCTCGTTCATTCTTCATTTGTTCACCAAACAATAGCTAGGGTTTTGCTGTGTTTGTACACTGTGCCAAGTTCTAGCTAAGATACCCAGATCAATAAGATAGAATTCTTCTCCTTTAGGGGGTGTGGCGGGGGAGTTCAGTCAGATGTCTGAGGTGACATTTAGTTTGTGCCAGGAGGGAGTGACCACCTGGCGTAACAGGAGAGAGGACCCCCTTTAGGTGGACAATCCGAGAGCTTCACGGAGGAGTAGCATGGGACCAGGCCTGGGAGAGGGGCGGATCTGACAGATGGAGATGGAGTAAAGGGAACAGAGGCAAGAGGGGAGGCAGGAGAACAGGGGGAGCAGGGCTGGGGCTCAGGTGAGGCAAGTGAGGCACTTGCTTTGGGCGCAAAATTTAAGTGAGTGCCAAAAAATTCAATGAGAAGATAATATCTTAATACAGTATCTTTTAAAAAAAAATTACAATGCAAAATTTTGTGATGAATGAAATATCAAAATTTTAAATAAAGACAGAATTAGTAATAATGTCATGCTGAGCCATACTGGAATCTGAGGAAAAAGGAAGAATGGATAATACATTGCTCGAAGTTTCAAAAATTTGTTCAACCTTGTGAACACCCTAGTGGTGCCCGTGAGAGAAGAGTGAGCGGTAAAGCTTTACTGGGTTAGCGGCTCACGAATGGAGCTGTGGGAGCTGATGTGGGGTGGGCTGGGGTCAGAGTACGGGGGTCCTGAATGCTGCCTACAAACTTTCTTCTTGGACCTTCTCCACACTTCTCAGCCCTCCTGGTCCATCTGCCCTTCCCTCCCTTTCACTTTGAGTTTGGCTGGACCCTGGGCAATTGCCATGAGATTCCAGGCTCTGTGTGCACGTGGGAAGGGAAGCGCCCTCCTCTGGGCCCCCGCAGTGGACCACTTTCCCACTGGACGGCCCCAGCCACTCCCCAATGTGTTCCTTGCCTGCTCCGCTACTAGACTGCGGACTCCTTCAGGGTGGGCGCTGTGTTGGACTCCTCTTTGTGGGCCTGGCACAGGATAGGCCCTGTGCTAGATGTTCCTTGGGTGAAGGAACATCAGAGGCATTCCTCATAGGAAGAGACGGAGGCTCTTTCAGCATCACATCTTCTTTGTGCCTTTTTCTTCAGTTGTTGGATGGGCGCACTGGGGCTCTTCCTGGAGCCCTTCCGTGCAGAGGTAGATGGGAAAGCATCCTGCAGAACACTTTCCATGGCTCTACTGCCCGCCTCTGCCTAGGCTCTTCTCTCCACCACCAATCCTCCCCTCCTGCCCATCCCTCATGGCCATGGCCCCTGCCAGGCCCACACCAGTGCTTCCGGGAGGTTTACCTGAGCCCTCTCCCTGCCACAATTTCTAGAAGCACTTCTGATGTGCCTTCATCAGTTAGCTGCAGAGGTGTCTTTTCTCCCTCGTTGGACGAGGGGCAGCCAGAGGGCTGAGGCAGGGCTTTTCCTATATCTGACTCTTTTGGAACAGAAGAGTTAGTGTGGGGCCGGCCCGGTGGAGCGAGCGGTTAAGTGCGTGCGCTCTGCTGTAGCGGCCTGGGGTTCGCCGGTTCAGATCCCGGGTGCGCACCGACGCACTGCTTGGCAAGCCATGCTGTGATGGCGTCCCATATAAAGTGGAGGAAGATGGGCATGGATGTTAGCCCAGGGTCAGTCTTCCTCGCCAAAAAAAAAAAAAAAAAAAAGAAGAGGATTGGCAGATGTTAGCACAGGGCTGATCTCCTCACAAAAAAATAAAAAAAAAAGAGTTAGTGAGAACTGCTCATTCATAAAAATTCCCTGTATTCATGGTTGACAAAAGGGGTGTTAGAGCCGAGATCTCATTGCATACTAACACTGGCCTGTGTGGTAGAGGAGTAGACAGATCACCCCTTGGGGCAGATGAAGAACCTGAGGCCCAGAGAGGGACATGCCCTGCACAAGATGACTGAGCCTGGTGGGGACATGCATGGGTGGAGCAGGAGCCTCCTGCCTTTCGTTGGGTTTGCATCTGAGTGTTCTGTGCTGCCTCTCTCAGAGCACCAACCTGGCCACACCATTGGTGATTGAAAGTCTCCAGTATCCTGCCTGAACGAGCAGAGCCCATCAGTACAGACCATGGTGTGCTCTTGTTCCAACTCTCCCTCCTCCCAGCTGAAGGAAGAACAACTTCCCTCCCCACAGTTGAGCACCATCTAAGAGGTTCCTCCAGGATGTAAAAGTGCTAGAAAGTACTGTCTACGTGTGATGGTTCTGTCTCCTCAGTCACTCATTGTCCAAGGACAAGGACTCCTTGTCCTCTCTCATCATATAGCTTATTGACATTGATAAATTCATTGACTGATTGATGGAGCCCTTCAATCTGCTAGTGTTTAGGGAGGACCTGCCATGTACCAGGCCCTGGCCTAGGAGCTGGGGATGCAAATATGCATAGCGTTCAGTGGCTCTGCACCCTGAGGAACAGCCTGCTGGATTGGCTGACCAGAAGAACTCAGAGTGGGAATCACAGTGATAAAGAGGAACTCCAGGTAGACGTGTCCCCAAATTTGTGCTGTGGCCTCACTGGGCAGAACTGCAGGGTGCTGGGCTGGGTTGTCGGGCAGGACTCACCTCTGTTCCCCTCTCCAGGTATCATCATCATGCTGACGCTGTGTGACCAGGTGGATATTTACGAGTTCCTGCCATCCAAGCGCAAGACAGATGTGTGCTACTACCACCAGCAGTTCTTTGACAAGGCCTGCACGATGGGTGCCTACCACCCACTCCTCTTTGAGAAGAATATGGTGAAGCACCTCAACCAGGGCACAGACGAGGACATTTACCTGTTTGGAAAAGCCACACTCCCTGGCTTCCGGAGCATTCGCTGCTGAGCATGGGCTCCCTGGCCAGGTCCCCTCACCCTTCTCCATTGAGCCTTTTATAGCCGGTCTCTTGGCCACCTTGGGCCTGGGAAGACCAAATTCCCAAACAATCACAGCCTGCATTCAAAGCCTTCTGTCAGCAAGAGCCCAGGGGCTTCAGGAGCCTGGAGGCAAGGAACCAGGTCCAGCCTGCCCTGTAGCTGCAGAGTGTGTGAGCCCAAAGCCTCCTGCACACATGTGTACACACACACCTAGCATTCTTTACAGACAGTCTTCCCCTCCTCTGACACAGGTAAATGCAAGATCCACCTTTCCCACCAAGGCTGCCAAAGCTGAGCTGCTCTCCCCACCTGAATGATGTTATCCTGGCAAACGTACCCCTATTCTGCTTGAAGTCTGCACCTAGACATTGATTTCATGTTTTAGAGAACTTCTCCCAAATTATGATTGTGCCTGGTACAAGATTGCTCTGGGGGGCAAGTAAGGGGTATGGGGCATAGGAAACATGCTTGATTTCTCCAGAACAAAGTTGCTCTCAAGATTGACACACCTGGGAGAGGCAATGTTTCTATCCCTTGGCTGTTTTGGCTGGTCCCAAGCGTGTGTGCTAATGAGGAAGAGTTGATGAACTCACAGCCCGCTCCATATGGAGATGAGAGGTACAGAAAGGTATAGTCTCCATCCTCAAGGTGCTCACATTTCAGTGGGAGAGACAGGGAGGTAGGGTTCAGTGTGCTCAGGGCACTGGGGGCTTGTAGACAGGTGGGACGGCTGTGCTATCTGTCCGCACTCCCACAAGGGGCCACATGCTTACTGTGTCTGTGGGTCATAGACAGCTTCACAGAGCTGGGGGCAGTGGAGTGGATTTTAGAGGACGAGACGAAACACATCAAGCAGATTTGGTCTGCATCATTTGAGTGGTGTTTTTCTTTCTGCCTTTATTACCCATATTTATTCTTTAAGATCTGCCTAAACTTATAGCCTCAAATCATTTTTTGAGGAAAACCTCTGTCCATGTCTGAGGTAGCAAGTGCAGCCCCATGGTAGATGCCAGGCAAACCATATGCCAACAACCTGATTTCTCCAGGCTCAGCCTGGCCTGACACTGTCCTTCCAGCTGGGTTTGCACACGGTGTCCACCTCTTCCTTTTTAATGCCCACCCCCAAGCCTACTCCTAACTGCCATCTTGTTTTTTCTGCCCCCTCCCAAATTACTTTTAAGCATTTTCTACTTTAAAAGTATCCTGACCCCATTTCTATGGCCCTCATGGGCCTTCCGTAGAAGGCCTCTCAGGGAGTGGGGATGTGGTTCCCTAGAATTTAAAGGTGCTCTCGGAGGTCAGAACCTTAGAGAGCATAACTGATTCTCACAGGTGCATCAGATTGCCATGCCCTCCAGCAAGGGAGCAGCGTCAGGGTCTCGGGGCAGAGGCCCTCCCACTGCGGTCTGAAACATGCTTCCCCGAAGGTTTTGCTAATCCCCTCCCCCTGGTAGAGAACCGCACCGGACTGGTCGGGCCCCTGGCAGAGAAGGTGAAGGACTTGATCAAGGTCACAGAGTAATGCTGTAGAGCCAGGGCTTCCAGATGCAGGTTGCTGGACTCCTGAAGCAACCCACGTGCTCAAGGGCCTCCAGTGTTTGGGCTCCGGACCAGCCGTGTGGGAGCTGGAGTATTCATTTGCTGCCAAACCTTTGGCTTATATATGCAGTAGAAAGAGCCCTGGAGTGAGAAGCCCTGGGTTTGCAAGATGCTGCTCCTCTATTTACTAACTATGCCACCATGGGCAAATTCTCCTCTCTTAGCCTCTGTTTCCACATCTATAAAATGGGAGTGATGAGTCTACCTCTCAGGGCTGTTGTGAGGGTTCCATGAAACACCTGTCCTGGCTCTGTACCTGGTTCACAGCAGGTGCTCAGTACATGGTGGTGTCCTTCCTTCTTTCACTAAGGACCTCCTCTGTGCTCACACCCAGCAGGACCCTGCTTTGAGGGAGGCCAGAGAGGGGGCCCTGTCATCAGGGAATTAACTGTCCTATTGGGAGATAGCAGCTACTCTGCTTGGAGCACCCAGGAAACCATCTAAGGCGGTGGAGGGTGCAGAACGTGGTTCTCTACCTCCTCCCTGCCTGCAGCTCAGGCTGATCTGCTTGGGAATGGGCTGAGCACTTGGGCCGCTTACTGTTGTGTGAGCTAGCCTTTTCCACCTTTCGGGGCCCATGAATTCCTGGCTTGCTTTATGTTCTGATTTGACAAATTCATTGCAATCTTTGACTCATGAACACTGAGCGCAGAGGAAAGTGGCATTCCATCAGGAGGAGATAGATGTTGGTGTGGACCCTGAGACTACACTGAGTAGATGCTAGCTTTTAATTGTTATTGTTAATGTAAGAGATCAAATTAATTTAAGTGTGATTCTGAGGTCTATGGAGCTTTTAATTCTGTATTCTCTCTATATGGAGACTCCAGTAAAATGCATAGAAGATAGGGGTATTGTTGGTCTGGTGAGCTGTTTAATGTTTGTGACAGATAATTTAAAAATTATGACTGGGGCCAGCCCGGTGGCGCAAGTGGTTAAGTGCGTGCACTCCACTGCGGTGGCCTGGGGTTCACTGGTTCAGATCCCGGGCACGCACCCATGCACCGCTTGTCAAACCATGCTGTGGTGGCGTCTCACATATAAAGTAGAGGAAGATGGGCATGGATGTTAGCCTAGGGCCAATCTTCCTAAGCAAAAAGAGGAGGATTGGCAACAGATGTTAGCTTAGGGCCGATCTTCCTCACCAAAAAAAAAAAAAAAGTTATGACTGAGTGCTGCAGGGAAGCTCGTTATCTCTACAGGATCCTGTCTTCAGTAGCCATCTATTCATCCTATACCATGAGATCCTCTAGTCTTTTCACCAATCAAATAAGCTATTGATATTGTTTTGGAGTTAAGACATCAATCTCAGAAACTTCTGAAACATGTCTCAGCTAACTCTGAATTATCCAAAGATTATATAAAATTTTAAAATAAATGTGTTTTTTAAAAAGCTCGTCTCTCTCTCCTTACTTGCTAAAGGAATGACTGCTGATTGTCAACTCTTGTCTCCAAGAAGACACGAATGGAATCCTGAATCCCCAAATCCTCTCCACTAGCTCCTCTGGCCTTAGCCTCCCTCTTCAATACTCCAGGGAAGGGAATGCTCACTTATGTGGCAGGATGGCATCTTTGAGATACTGACTGGCTTATTGAATTTTCTTCCTTTTGCTCTTGCTTGGATCCAAATAACTAAGCTGTGGTTCATCCAATACCCCAGGGAAGGGATGCAGTAGGGCAGAAAGCAGAATGAAAGGAAGGTCCTTACTTTGATTTCCAAAAGCCTACAACCCTCAGAGGAATGATGTCCCAAGGGAATAGCCAAACTGGATAAAAATCCTGAGGAGAAGCAGGAATAAGGGAAGAAAGGATAATTCCTTTTCCCTATGAACTGCCCACCTCCCGTTAGGGGTTGAATTCGTCCCCCTAAAATTCATATGTTGAAGTCCTAGTACCTCAGAGTGTGAACTTATTTGGAAATAGAGTCATTGCAGAGGTAATTAGTTAAGATGAGGTCACACTGGAATAGGATGAGCCCCTAATCCAGTATGAATGATGTCCTTAGGAAAAGGGGAAATTTGGAGATAGAACCACAAAGGGAGAATACCACAGGCAGAGGTCAGAGTGATCTACAAGCCAAGGAACACCAAAGACTGCCAGCAAACCACCAGAAGCTAGGGGAGAGAGGCGTGGAAGATTCTCCCTCACAGCCTTAGAAGGAGCCAACCCTGCTGAAACCTAGATCTCAGACTTCTAGCTTCCAGAACTGTGAGACAATACCTTTCTGTTGTTGAAGGCACCTGGTTTTGTACTTGGTTATGGCAGCCCTAGCAAATGAATATTTCCCTACCCCGACTTGTAACTCCACACCTACAACAGAGTTCCCTGGACTGGGGCTGGAAAGAACAGTGAGAGGAATGGGGCTGTCTGAGCACCTGGAGAGAGGGCCCTCTGCCCTGCTCCCTGGCCAAAGCTCTGGGAGGGACCTGCAAGTGCTTGGATGGTGAGGCTTCCTGGGGACTTGAGTCCAGGCACATGGGACGTTAGGCAGCCTTGAAGAGATCCCACGCCTGGAGAGGCACAGAAGCAGCTGAGTGAACGCCCCTTCCTGACGAGATCTTGAATGAGGGACACCCAAGTAATGCTGAGTGGTCAGATTAACACCTGACCTTTGCAGCAAATGCTTTAGCGTTGTAAGTTTCCTGGAACTCAGATGTAATGCCTTATATCGACTGAGATTGGATTTTTGCCTGGATCCCAGTGGAATGGGAGCTCAAAATAGAAGTGACAGAAAAACAGGTCTCGATTAGTCTGGGAACTGAGATTTGTGCTTGCCAAATTTATAGTGACCCTAAATCTCTGTAAGGTCCTTTTAGCTGGTGGGCTGGGTGGGCTGGGCCTTGGGTGGCACTGGGCCCCTGTGTCTGGGTGTGGAGAGGAGCTTCTGCAACCTCCCCAGGCTGCCTTTCTCCTGGTTCCTACCTTGTTATCTGCTGCTTTTTTTAAGGTTTATATTGTTGGGAGAGAGGGAGGAAAACAGGGCCCTGGCTCTTCTTTACCTCATCAGCCCTTTGGGAGAGGAAAGACGCAAGCTACAACGGGAAAGATTACATTGAATCTACAGATGGCTTTGGATAGTATGGACATTTTAACAATATTAATTCTTCCAAACCATGGACATGGGCTATCTTTCCACTTATTTGTGTCTTCAATTTCTTGCATCAATGTCTTAATAGTTTTCAGTGTACAGATCTTTTGTCTCTTTGGTTAAATTTATTCCTAAGTATTTTATCATTTTTGATTCTATTGAAAATGAGATTATTTTATTTCTTTTTCATATAGTTCATTGTTAATGTATAGAAATGCAACTGATTTTTGTATGTTGATTTTGTATCCTGCAACTTTACTGAATTTGTTTATTAGGTCTAACAGTTTCTTGGTGGAGTCTTCAGGATTTTTCCTATATAAGAACATATCATCTGCAAACAGAGACAATTTTCCTTCTTTCTTTCCAGTTTGGATGCCTTGTATTTTTCTTGCCTTATTGCTCTGGTTAGGACTTCCAGTACTATATGTTGAATAGGAGTGGTGAGAGTGGGCACCT